TATCCATGGTGAATTTTATGCCCTTATGCTCTTAGTATAGTATTTCTCACTTTGCCATGTGTTTGTAGCTGTTTACTAATTTTCAGGAAACAATGCAATTCAGAAAAGTCTTAGGCGTGGGACGGTGGAATAGACACATACAACACTTTTTATGGTATTTTTATATGTAAATATCGGCCTTTTTGGTCAATAAATTTTTTTTTTTTTATAAAAATAGAAGCTCCGATGATTATTTTGGTACCCTCACTTAAATATTTTTCCGCTCGCATTTGGAAATTTGTTTAAAAAGTGGCTGAAGGTAACTTCAGTTACTGGCTATCACGATACTTAACCCTTGGGTACGGGGAGCGGGTCATGATATTAGCGGTAGAAAGTGTAATAAATCCTTTTATAAATAACTTCATCTACGTGAGAAATGAAAAACTCAAATTACAAGCTATACCAGGGAAAATTCAAATTGTAGTTGTCTCACAATCTCGATTTCTTAAAGTGATTTTATCCGGTATGTTATGTTTATATCAATTCTCGACACTCATGTTTGTATCCATCAATCTTAACAAATAGTATTAATTTTTTTTTTGTTAAGATAGGCCCCAATTTGACCCTTTGTTATTTTATAGGTTTTTCCTATTAGAATCGTAGTCTCCTTAATTTATTCCATATTTCTTGGGTTCATGTGAATTGTGAAACCTTAATTTTCTCATAATATTGCTAGGAATGTTTCATTTTAATTTACTCAAGTTCAATAATAGACTATCAAATCATTTTATTCATTACCTATTAACAAAAATCTAACGACAAATACATTTCCAAACAATATTGCAAAGTTTGTTGGTGGGAGGAGACTACTTGTGGTAGTTCACACAACAAGCTGGGAGAAACCAAATTATGTTGAACACATAGAGTTTATATCACTGAGTATGTTTTTGAAAAATACAGAAAACAAATACAACTAGAGAAAGCCTCTCTTTCTCTCTAACTCACACTCCTTTATTCTTTCTAATTTCTTCTCTACCTTCCAACAATGGCGGAACTATGTAGGGCTGGAAGGGCCATGGTCCCTTCGATTTTTTTACATTTATTATTAATTTTATATTTATGAGCATTTATAAAATGTATAATATTTCACATTTTAAATATTAGTATCAATTTTACTGAGTCGATTTTATTAATACAATCTAAAATTTCACCTTTAAATTATTTATCCACATTGACATAGCAGGGGTTGGGTCTTAGTTGATTAATTTCTAAACTAGCCTATACTAATAGTTTAATCAATTGTATACAAAGATTTAATCAATAGTTCAGAACTGAAAAAATTGAAAAAAAAAGAAGAAGCTATTTGTTAGATTTATTTAGTTTTGTTGTGAAATACTTATTTTGCAATGCTTATGTACGAAATTATGTTCAATTAGTAATGTACTAAAATTAACTCCACATTTTTTTTTATGTATATATAGTGGCCTCTCCCCAACAAAATTTCTAATTCTGCCCTAACCTTTCACACTTTAAGCCCTAACCTTCCACACTGTAAACTCTCACAAACATTACAAATTTATAGCTAAATCTTGGGGATTTTTTTTAAGGTCCCTAATATTAAGATTTTATAAGATAAATGACATACGATATTTTCATAATGGTTGGGGTCCCTCAACATTTTTTTAGAGAAATTTCGATTTAGAAAAATTTTAAAACACAAAGAAATTTCTCAGTGTTTTCAAATTTCTCTAAGTTGAAATTTCTCTGATTTGCTCGTAAATTTCTCTGTGTTTTTGACTAATTTTCTCTAGTTTGCTCATAATTTTCTCTGTGTTTTTGACCAAACCAAAGAAAATTGAATAACTACCATTTTGACCAATTTTCTCTGGACCGTAAGACATTCGGACAACAGTTGCACCAATGTCAATCGAAGCGATCTTGCTTCCAGTGTACGCGTCAAATTTTGCACATACAAATATTCATTAACAGCATATATCGTGATTTTATCAGTGATAACGCTGAGATAAAAGAAAGAACCGTTTCAAATTGAAGGTTTCCGCAATAACAATAATGTAGGTTTCGATGGCGACAATGACGAGAGCTTGAGTGGGTTGAAATGCGGCAGCGTGCAAATTGCTTAGGGTCAGGCCTAGCGAATCTGGTGAATTTCTTAACGGCGATCAACCGGCAGTTCTATAGGCAGCCCTTGCAGACAAGATTAGGGGCTATTTCACTGCTTTTCGGAAATGATGTATTCGGGGATGAATTGTAAGTGGCGGCTTTGAGGTTTGAGAAAAAGAAATCTGAGAATGAGGAAACTTCGGTGTCTGATCTACCGGAAGGCGGTAGGTGGACAAAAGGTGGGTTTGTGCTCTGCGACGACTACTGGTAGTGGTTGTTGTCTTCCTTTTGGGTGTGCCTTTGCCAGCAAAGTCGATTCATAACAACCCATGTCAGAATAAGTCTCAACGTTGCCCTCAAATGACCAGGGTAACCATTTTATAGTGAAAAAAATGTAGACAGAGAGAGAGAGAGAGAGAGAGTGGGTGAGTGAGTGAGAGGAAATGGGCATCTCTCTCAATTGTTTCACTTTATTGTTGTTGTGTCTCTCTTTCTCTTTCCAATCTTTGGCATTGGTGGTAGTGATAAATCTAGAATTAGAACGTGGTATTGTGTGTTGCTGAGGGACCTTCAGCTAACATGGTATGTATGTCGTATTTGACAAAACATTAATGACTTGTTAAAAAAAAAAAAAAATGTCATATAATACACTAACTATAACATCCATTTAATGCATGACGTAAACATAAAACTATAAACAATTAATTTTGTTGCAGCGGCCTAACACAACTTGCCAAACTGATTTAATTTACTTGTGTACCACATTAATTTTACAATTTATATAACAACCACAGTTGAGCTATTAATATTACTAAAATAATTATTGTTGGTTGAATTCAAAAAAATTAAATAAAAGAGAAACCTAATCAAATATTTCTTATTCAAGCAAGTTGACCAAATCTCATCTTGGTCCCAGACCTCATGCAGGTTAATACAATATATTCTATCTTGCACAAAATAAATAAATAAATAAATAAAATGCCGTATAATACACTAACTATAACATGCATTTAATGCATGCCATAAACATGAAGCTGTAAATAGTTAATTTTGTTGGAGTGGCCTAATGCAACTTGCCAAACGGATTTAACTAACTTGCATTGCATTAATTTTGCAATTTAGTGAAGACGACTTTATACAACAAACACAATTGAGTTATTGATATTACTGATATAATTATTGTTGGTTGAATTCAAAAAAAATTAAATAAAAGAGAAACCTAGTCAAATATTTCTTATTTGGGCAAGTTGACCAAGTCTCATCTCAGTCTTACACCTCATGCAAGTTAATATGATGTATTCCATTTTGCCAAAAAAAAAAAAATGCCGTATAATACACTAACTATAACATCCATTTAATGCATGCCGTAAATATGAAGCTGTAAATAGTTAATTTTGTTGTAGTGGCCTAACGCAACTTGCCAAATGGATTTAACTAACGTGTACCACATTAATTTTTCAATTCATTGAAGACAACTTTATATAACAAACACAATTGAGCTACTGATATTATTGATATAATTATTGTTGGTTCAATTAAAAAAAACTAAATAAAAGAGAAACCTAGTCAAATATTTCTTATTCGGGCAAGTTGACTAAATCTCATCTCGATTCCAAACCTCATGCAGGTTAACACGATGTATTCCATTTTGCCCAAAAAAAAAAAAAATGCCATATAATACAGTAACTATAACATGCATGCCGTAAACATGAAATTGTAAATAGTTAATTTTGTTGTAGTGGCCTAGCGCAACTTGCCAAACGGATTTAACTAACTTGTACAACATTAATTTTGCAATTCATTGAAAACGGCTTTATATAACAAACACAATTGAGCTACTGATAACTATTGATATAATTATTATTGGTTGAATTCAAAAAAATTAAATAAAAGAGAAACCTAGTCAAATATCTCTTATTCAGGCAAGTTAACCAAATCTCATCTTGATCCCAGACCTCATGCAGGTTAATTCAATGTATTCCATGCTCGCCCTAACTTGGTTTTTATGTAATACAGAAATTAGAATTTTGTTAACAAATGCTCTTGCAAAAATTAAAAATTAAAAAAAATAAAAATCTCAAATTTTCATCCATTTTCAAAGTACATAATGAAAAAAATTTCCTTCTTTTATTGTGGAATCATTAGATATCTTAAACAATGGCATGTATTTCTTGTGAGGGATAGAATAGTAAAAAATAAATAAATAATTCAAGAAAACGAAATTATGGTAAGGGATCCTCTATTCCAAAATTTCTATCATTCTGTCTCAATGTATTCACAGATGGTGGGAATCTCGAAACATGAAATTCTTAGGACAGGTGCAACTCAGAATACATTGGAATAGAGGGACAAGAAATTTTCAATAAAGTGTGCCCTGCCAATTTTAATTTTCAGTTTTTTTGTTGATAATTGTTTGACGATAAAATTTTTTTGTTAAGAAAATGAAATTAGGGTAAGGGATCATCTGTGCTGAATTTTTTTTTTGTCCTTCTATCTCAATGTACTCAGCCACACAATGGGATAGAAATCTCAAATGATGAGAATCTTAGGGCACTTGTGACTAAAAATACACCGACAGAGAAACAAGAAAATTTCAGGACAAAGAATCCCATCCCACAAGTTAAGGATGAAGTGAGAGCTTCTTGATTTTAATGTTCATTTGTTGATTATTCTGTCATGTTTTCAAGAAAATAAAATTAGGCTTAAGGATCCTCTGTGCTCGAATTTATGTCTCGTCTCAATGCACTTGCAGTCACACAATAAGTTGAAAATCTCGACTCACATGCAACTCATAATACATTAAAACAGAGGGACGAGAAAATTTTGAGACACAGAATACTGCTAATTTTAATATTCACCCCTATTGATTATTCTATATTGTTGTTCTGTTTTGATAGGGAATGACTCTCCTCTGGCTAACAGCAATGCTTCCACAATTGAAACCACCCTCTTGTGAACACTTCATCAACAGCACTTGCAACAACTCTCCAACCTCAGCCCAACTTGCTGTCTTGTTCTCTAGTTTTGGCCTAATCTCCATTGGAGCTGGTTGCATTAGACCTTGTTCTATGGCCTTTGGTGCAGACCAATTGGACAACAAAGACAACCCTGACAATGATAGGGCTTTGCAAAGCTTCTTCAATTGGTACTATGCCTCTACTGGACTCTCTACAGTCCTTGCCTTGACTGTCATTGTCTACAATCAAGAACATTTGGGCTGGCAAGTTGGTTTTCGAATCCCGGTTGTGTTCATGGTTTTCTCTGCTCTCATGTTCTTGTTGGGCTCTTCTCTTTACATCAAAGTTGTCGCTAGCGAGAGTTTGTTCACCAGTTTTGTTCAAGTTCTCGTGGCAGCTAGGAGAAACAGGAAAAACAGATACTCTGATGATTTTCATCATAAAAGCCTAGAACCAAAGTTCTGTGCACCAACTGAGAACTTGAGGTGCCTAAACAAAGCATGCATAATTACAGATCCCGAGAGAGATTTGAATCCAGATGGATCGGCTTCAAATCCATGGCATCTATGCACGGTGGAACAAGTAGAATCACTCAAGGCCCTTCTCAAAGCAATCCCCATGTTCTCTGCTGGCATTATGGTCATACTAGTCATCTGCCAAAACTCATTTTCAACACTCCAAGCGAAAACCATGAACCGCCACATCAACTCAAGTTTTGAGATCCCAGCGGGGAGCTTTTCCGTGTTCATGATCGTCACGCTAACACTATGGGTCACCTTCTATGACCGTTTCATGGTTGCGCTACTAGCAAAGTGCACAGGGAGGCCACTTGGGCTTAGCCCCCGTGTCAGGATGGGGATTGGATTATTACTGTCATGTCTGGCAACAGTAGTGTCAGCAGTAATTGAACGCAAAAGGCGTTCAAAAGCAATTGAACAAGGGTTTCAGGAGGATCCCAATGCTGTGGTGGACATGACTGCAATGTGGTTGGTTCCACAATATGCCATACTTGGACTAGCCGAGGCGTTTTATTCGATCGGGCAAAGAGTTCTTTTACAGTCAGTTCCCTAAAAGCATGACTAGCATAGTAGCATTTCAATGGCCCTTTCGACACTTGGGATGGCGGTATCGAGCCTAGTGGGGAGCCTTCTGGTGAAAATTGTGAATGTGGTTACAGCCAAAGGGGGCAAAGTAAGCTGGTTGTCAAGCAACCTTAACGGGGGTCACGTAGATTACTATTATTGTCTACTTACTTTCTTGGGCTTCCTAAATTTCATTTATTTCCTAATTTGCGGCCGGGTTTGCGAGCCTATTAAGAACGAAACAACAAGGTTATCCAGTGAGGTAGGTGAAGAATCCGACCATAGCGAATTACCTTCGGCTTAAAATGTATGGTTTTCATGATATGGCAGCTAGTAGTCAAGATGCGTGCTTTCTCTTCTCTCTCTCTCTTTTTATTTATTTTTATTTTTTTGGTGTGTAATTCCTCTGTAAATTATCAGCAATCAAAGTAGCTCAATCCTTGGATCTTTTTTGGGGTATACATTGGTTTAATGTTGTGTTTCGTAGGAGGGAAACTGGAAAAAGAAAACGGTGAACAATAGAAAAGCCACTTAATACTCATTTAACACAACTTTGAATTAGAGATTGGTAGGGGCTGCGCTACCATAGGGGCTGCGCTACCTCTTGGACAGACCTTAGGCGGGCACCCCTCCTAAAGTGCAATGGAAGTCACCAAGGCCATGGGCCTTGTTGATTGCCCGTCGACCCCGTCCGGATAAGTATGTTTCAAGGTAGCTAATACATTTCATTGTGTAGGCTTGGCTTCCCGTTCTTTTGCTCATATGCTTTCGATGTGGGATGATGAAGTCAAGGATTCCCCCCATCAAATCCACCTAACCAAGAGTTCCTAAGTTCAACAACCATTTCAACTTTTATTTGGAATCTGATATTTTTTTCTAGGAGCTAAGAGCAAGGGAAGCTGCTAAAAACATGGATTTTGCTTCAGCTCAGTTAAAGCAACCATATTTTTGGTACAAAATTCAAAAGTTCATCTTCCTTTTGCTCAAAACACTAGATATGAGGCATCGTAATGTATTGGCCACACATGGAACAATATTCAATAGAGTGAGAATGTTAATATTATGTTAACAAAGGCAAAATGCTCAAAATGCAGGTGCAAAATTACAGTGAGTCTTTTGACACTCCTTAATCTCAGAGATATGTGTAAGCTCTCTTAATTATGTATCATTCTCAGTCGCAACTAATCACAACTTATCGCAGTTATGTTTGACAGTGAAATTTCATAACTTACCATTCTGCCCTTGATCTCTTTGTTTTTAAATCTAAAAACCATTTAAGTTACTGTACAAGTTCCATTCACAGTTTCATAGTTTACATTAACATTAACACGAATTAAAAAATTATTACTATTATATTAAATGAAAAAATTGAGACTAGTGCTGGTGGGGTGCGCTAGGCCAAGGCAATAGTGCAACACCAAGGCGACACTCGAAGACCCCAGTAGCAAGCTACTGTGATGGGACTTCCCCCTCAAAAAATTAATTTAATATCGTGTGGACCAATGGTCCATGTATCAGATATTAAACTGATAAGAACAGATACTACACTTGATCTTAGCCAAAAGGCCGAGAAAGGTATGATTTGGAAACACTTGGGCTTGCTGTTTTAAAACCCAATGACCTGTTCTCTTTTTCTCTCCTTCTCGATATGGGACTAGTTGAACACTGACCAATCATTGTCTTCACTTAAAACACCAATGACCAATGCTCTGTGTGTGTATAATTCGACATATAATGATTATCTCATTCCATTCATTAAATACACTGTAACAGTCACTTGATCAAAGAATACATCTGGAAAATCCATTCAAGTTGGTCCAAAAATTTTCTGAGGAAATCTTGAGCTCTGTTGTTAGGCTAATTCCTGAAGTAGAGAACCAAAGGCGAGTGCTTTCAATGCCTTATTTCCCTATTCTGCTTCTTTAAGCTCAATGTACCACACTATGGGATTCTCTGAGTGACGTTTTCTCTGCGCTTCTATTGAGTGAAAGACCGAGCTGACACTTCTCCTCTGGAATGCACCCTTTAGGCTAGTTCTTGATTTTTAGTCACAATATATTGTCTGCGTATCCTCATTTGGTTGACAATTCATTGCAGCGATGTCTAGTCTGTATTGATGGGATGGATTAGGCATTTTAGATACTTTTCTGGGAAAGTTGGGGGTTCAGAAACTCCTTGGCAATGGCATATCCATGGCTAAAAAAATTGGAATAGTTTGGAAAAATCAGGAAACACTTTTGATTATGTTTAGATCATGTATGTTTAGATCATAGATTTAGATAAAGATTTAGGAAAAGTGAAATTGAAAAGGTAAGAGAAATAAGAATGAAATATGAGCTAAACTGACCATGTGCTTGGGACCATGATGTACAAGAATCCATTACCATAATCATTTCAAAAAAAACCATTTGATTACACCTTGAAATCAATCTTATGCCAACAATTTGTCCAAAATCAAGAGATCACAAACCAGTCCTAAACCACTATTAGAAATCATTAATACCCACATAAAGCAGAAAATTTAGCACTAGAGATTAGTAGGGGCTGCGCGAACGCAAGCCCCCGCTATCACAAATTATGACGTAGACTCCACCTCTTGGGTAGATCTTAGGCGGGCACCCCTCCTATGTGCAATGGAGGTCACCAACCTAGGCCATGGGCCTTGTTGATCACCCATTGACCCCGTCCAGGTAAGTATGTTTTTAAGTTTGCTTATACATTTCTTTGTATAGGCTTGATTCCCCATTCTTTTGCTCCTATGCTTTCGATGTGGGATGTAGTCTAGAAATCTTCCCCCCATCAAATCCACCTAACCAAGAGTTCCTAAGTTCAACAATCAATAGATTGACTAATTTGGATGGTGACTAATACCACCGTCTACTAACGAGGAACTCATTTAAGTTGAGACAAATTCTGTATAGACAAATCTCAAAAAACTATTTACAATTAAAAGATTTCGAATTTCAAACTTTAGAAGGAAGTATACAACCTTTTCATATAGGATGAAACATATCTTACATACAAAAAAATTGTATATAATTCTATCATCGATTATATTTTTTGGTCTTAAAATGGTGTGTGCGCTAGGAGGAGAGGTTCCAAATACTTGAGAAGCTTCTTAGATGTTTCGTTTTCGAGTTGTTTTGAATCATGTGATTGCCCAATTTTCTTCGTCATGCTCATGTCCTGTTGACTGATATAAATATTAATTTGGCACGCTTTAATCATTGCTCAAAAATACTCTCCTTATTCCTTTTATTGGAGAAAATAGCTTTAAAATGATTTTATCTTATATTTTTATAGGACTGTAATCGACCCTTAATAAATGATATTATCTATTTTCTCTCTATCTTATTTTACAATTAATTGATGATTATATTTGAATGATGTGCTCTGTTTGTTTTAGTGAAGGATGTTTTTATAAATTATTTTCTATAATTTTTGGTGTTTAGTGTAACAAAAAATGTAAAGTCAAAAATAAATAAATAAATAAATAAAATATTTGGATGAAATATATTTTTCCAATAAGTTTGAAGAGCTGTCCACCTTACCCAAAATATTATCAAACTAACTTCTGACCCTTATCCAACTCTAACTTGGCAGCCATCTCCTCAGTATGGGGACCACTTTTTCAAACTAACTTCTGACCCTTATCCAACTCTAACTTGGCAGCCATCTCCTCAGTATGGGGACCACTTTTATTTAAAAAATAAATAATAATAACAATAATTATAACAAAGCCCTAGTTTATCACAATTAGGGTAGTGTAAAATACTATTCAATTCGTTAAAATTATATCGATTCACATCAATTCATACCGATCTATCTTCTAACCGCTAATTAAACTCTAAAATTTATAATTCGCATTCGAAACTATTCCGCTCCACTATAGTTAATGCATATATATTGTTAGGACATTTACACACAAGTCGTAATTTATGAACTTATACTCAATAAATTTTTTGGATCTTCAAGTTCTATTAAATTTTTAATAGTCAGAATTGCCCTTCAAATAATGACTGTTTATCATTTATGATTATTTATAAAAGAATATGATAATTTGATATTTATTTTGATTTTTAAAACTTTAAAATATCAACTTTCAAATTGACAAAAACTTTAAAAAAATCATGTGAAATTTTTTGTGCAAAACTAAAAATTTTGTGTCTATAAAAGGAGCATAGTGGTGGAACATTAATGTGCAAAACTGGGAAAAAAAATACTGATAATGTCTTTAGTTTTAAAACTGAAAAAAAAAAACTAATAATGTTCTCGGTTTTATTGGATAGTTGAATCAAACCAAAAAGTAGAAAGACAAAAACGTTTAATCTCATGCTTTGTGTTTTTTTTTCTCAGATAGTGAAACAATTATCTGGAATATTGCTATGCAAAATTAATAATGTTTTTAGTTTTAAAAATTGGAAAAAATTGATAATATTATCAGTTATACTAAATATGACTTATTAGTTCAAAAAATCTTAAATAGGACTTGAGCTACCATAACATTTGTAAATAGAACTTTTAGATAATTAACTCTATATTTTTTAATCTCCAATGAAATATTAAAGTAAAAATGAGTGTGAGATATTTAAGATACGAAATTTATTACAAATTAGTAGTTATATATATGAAATATATTATGTAAAGTTAGTTTGTATTATATATATAAAAAATAGGGGCACTTTCATAAATCTCTTTTCATCTACTTATATTCGATTTAGTCCACATTATTTTTTTTTATATTCCAATAAGTCCTATGGGTAACATAGTTACCAAAATACTCCTAATAATATTCACATTTGCAGTGTGAATGTTCTGTGATGTGAATGTTCACATTGTCAATGTGAATATTTACATTGTAAAATATGAATGTTCACATCACAAAATTGCTAACCGTTCAAAAAATATTTGTAGGGGTAGAAATGTCCATAAAATACCTTAAATATGAGAATTAGGATTTGGTAGATCAAATGTCCAAATAATAGGACT